TGCCAAACTGTGATTGTGTCCTTAGGCAAGACATTTCACCCACATTAGTCTGGTGTGTGTGTGGTTGGTGGTGGTCAGAGGGGCGGATGACACAGACTGGTTGCCTCGCTTCTGTTAGTGTGCCCCAGGGCAGCTGTAAGTAAGTAAGTAAGTAAGTAAGTAAGCTTTATTTATATACCGCCTTTCACAGACCAGAGTCACAAAGCGGTTTACAATTGTTATTATTTTTTGGGCATTTGTCTCTCACTCCACACAGAGATGGGAGCGGGGTCGCCGAACAGGAGGCGCATGCCAGACCTATTGTACATATTTTTAGTGGTAGGGGAAACCGGAGTACCCGGAGGAAACCTACGCAGACACGGGGAGAACATGCAAACTCCACTCAGAAAGGCCCTGGTCCGGCCGGGATTCGAACCCAGGACCTTCTTGCTGAGAGGCGAGAGTGCTATCCACTCAGCCACCGTGCCGCCAGCTGTGACTACAGTTAATCACTACTGTGTATGTAGTGAATGAATAATGGCATATGAAAGGTTGTGTCCAAAGCAAAAATTGAATCACAATCTTTTGAAATAAATTGGCAACAAGAGAAAGCCTGGAAAAGATGTGATAGAGGCCTAGACGTACATGTGAATAGTGATGGATGGATTGGATTTTTTGCGGTTTGAAAGTTAGGTATCCCAGCTTTAAAACTGTCAGAATAAACATGGACTTATGCTATTTACACAGTAACAGAAGAAGCATGCAGCGAACAAATCTAAAATCTCATAAATCATGAGAAATACTCGCTGTACTGTCAAGAAAGCTAAAATTCCTTCTTCAAACTTTTCCTCATTAGCCAAAAGGTCCAGGGGTTAAATATCGTCTTCCAAGTAACATGGAGACGTGGCACATTTGCCGTAGATCACCGCGACTCCACACTCCCACGATTTACTGAGCTGCCGTTTGGACTCGACATAGAATAACACAAAGATCCCGGAAAGCATTTTGCAAAGAGAACGACACATGCAAAAGAAAACCAAAGATACGTCTTCTGACACGACGGCAACGGGACGAGAGTTATGGAAAAGATGTGGTTGTGGTGAAGCCTAAAGCAGAGCAGATAGGATTTCACTGTGCACTGCAAAAATATGGTTTTAGTTGAGGTTAAAGCTGGGGTTTCTAACTTTCAAACCACATAGAAATAGAACTAGGGAATAAAATACATAGTTATTTACTCTCAAAATTGTTGGGATCTATTTCTTCACATACATGTATTGTTTATTATTGTTTATTGGTTTGAAATAATTTTATTTTCCACTCAGAAATGGAGCATGAGCATATTCAATTAGACTATAATTTTTTAGCTTTTCATCCACTAGAGTTTGGCAAAAAAAATTGTAACGTTTTTTCCCTAAAAAAGACAGCATTTTTAGTTTAGTTTAATTTTACTACATTTTAGAGTAAATATTTCAATAGTTCAAAAGAAAAAAATAGCTAAATCCGACCAAAACACGAGATGTAGGTTAGTTAGAACAGTACAGTATGTTAGTAAACCCAAAGATCATTCAACTTTGTTAAAAAATACTTTAAACCAGGAGTGTCTATACTTTCATATACACATTTCCATCATGTAAAAGAAAAAAATCCTTATTACAAATATGCTATGTTAAATTTTGCTTTTTTGTGTGAAGTTTTCTGTTTGTAGTTATTTTTGTAGTGTAGTCTCACTGTCAGTATAGTTTTTGCAGTGTAGTCTCAGTGTAAGTAGTTTTTGCAGTGTAGCCTCAGTGTGTGTAGATTTTGCAGTGTAGCCTCAGTGTGTGTAGTTTTTGCAGTGTAGTCTCAGTGTATGTAGTTTTTTGCAGTGTAGCCTCAGTGTGTGTAGTTTTTACAGTGTAGTCTCAGTGTAAGTAGTTTTTGCAGTGTAGCCTCAGTGTGTGTAGATTTTGTAGTGTAGCCTCAGTGTGTGTAGTTTTTACAGTGTAGTCTCATTGTAAGTAGTTTTTGCAGTGTAGCCTCAGTGTGTGTAGTTTTTGCAGTGTAGCCTCAGTGTGTGTAGTTTTTGCAGTGTAGCCTCAGTGTGTGTAGTTTTTGCAGTGTAGCCTCAGTGTGTGTAGTTTTTGCAGTGTAGTCTCAGTGTAAGTAGTTTTTGCAGTGTAGCCTCAGTGTGTTTCGTTTTTGCAGTGTAGCCTCAGTGTGTGTAGATTTTGCAGTGTAGCCTCAGTGTGTGTAGGTTTTGCAGTGTAGCCTCAGTGTGTGTCGTTTTTGCAGTGTAGCCTCAGTGTGTGTAGATTTTGCAGTGTAACCTCAGCGTGTGTCGTTTTTGCAGTGTAGCCTCAGTGTGTGTAGGTTTTTGCAGTGTAGCCTCAGTGTGTGTCGTTTTTGCAGTGTAGCCTCAGTGTGTGTCGTTTTTGCAGTGTAGCCTCAGTGTGTGTAGTTTTTGCAGTGTAGCCTCAGTGTGTGTCGTTTTTGCAGTGTAGCCTCAGTGTGTGTAGTTTTTGCAGTGTAGCCTCAGTGTGTGTAGATTTTGCAGTGTAGCCAGGAGCCTCTCTGTGGTGTTGAATGCGGTTCGGATTTATATTGTGACAAACGACAGGGAAAAAGACGAGTATAAAGCGGAGGATGTAAAAACACAAAGCAGAACGTTTGCGGTCAGACTTCTGAGAACGGTTCAGTGTTTTGGACACGGCTGCACAAAACCAACACATGAGCATCAAAAGGAGAATATAGGAACTCGCGGAAATGTAGAATTCTGTTAATAAATGAACTCTGGAAGATGCTTTGTGATGTCAAACTTCTCCCTGGCTCCACTATCACGCCACAAGCACTGTTTATGCCCATAATAAATCTGTGATAGAGACAATTTGGCAGCATTGTGCAAGCCATTTTACCTTAATAATAAAAACAATAATAATGTCCTTTTCTGGACACTCAAAGACGCCTCATATGTCATTATTCCCTCACTGTGGTGATAAACTACTACTTAATAAATTATCCAAATACCATGTTAATTAATTGTTGCCATTCATAATGGCCACAAATAATAACTATTCTATTGCTTCTTTAAAGGACAACTCACCCTCAAATCCACTTTTTTTTGCTGATAAACGGTATAAATGAGTGTCCAATAGTGTTGTCTACTGTACATATCCTGGTCATAATTTTGTCAAATTAGTTGAAAGTTAAACTTTCTGCCTAAAACCGTCTGTGAGGCGCCATCTGTTGGCAACCTGTATTACTACATTTGAATTTTGAATTTTGAATCTGGCGCCAACACTGGCGCGGCAGCAAGACCTGACGTCTGAAGCAAGACCTGACGTCAGCAGCCCCCCGCCCAGAGCAATGTAAACGGCCCAGTCTCGTTCACGCCCCCTTTAGTCCTCCAGGCTACGCCCATTTAGAGGAAGATTTGAACAGGAAATGTGAGTGACGTAAGCTCCGAGGAGCGGGGGTGAGAACCACTTTAATAAAGCTTATCAGACAATATTCAAAACTTATTTAATTCTCAAAAATACATAAAAAATGTATATCTTATTAAAGGTATTTACATTTTTTTCAATCTTTTTTTATTTATCTATTTTTAATCTAATTTTTGTATTCATGTTTTATGTCATCTTTTCCTTTACATTATAATTGTTGCCTTGTAATGAAATGGTGGTCAAAGTTATGAAATTTTGACCAAAAAAATAAATTATAAAAAACAACATTTATTCATATATAAATACAGAATCACTGCTATCCCTCCACATAGTCCACCTTTCTCATAATGTACGCGGGCAAATGAAGTCTGTAGGTGTCCTTTAAGATCCTTTGGCGTGTAGTGAATTCTCATTGGTCGGCGAGGTCCCGGGGGTTACTTCTGCGGACATGAGTTTGATCGGTCGGTCTGTGGTCTCTCATGCTGCTGCTTTTCCAAGGTCAATAAAAGCGTTTCATTACTCAACATCACTCCCTACACTTTGCTCCATATTCGCATCGATACCAAATGTAAATCCAGCCGCGGGTTCTGTCACTGTTTGGCTACAAAACGCTGCAAGGAAAGCGACATTCGACCACGTTGTTTTGAGTTCGTCTCATTTTTCTTACTCAAACATGAAAGCGAAATGTTTTCCAAGTCGCGGGACCTTCTGTCCTCACAAACCGCCATTTTTCCTGTTGTAGATTTTGTGCGTAATGTGTTGTTTTAGTTCCGATTCGGAGACATCTGTTGGCTCTCAATAAACTCAAAACAACATGTCAAAATTATGAATGCAGCATAATATTGTGTTACATAGAAAAATTGTTGGCTAGTCTTGTAGAAGCAACACAATTCAACCACTGAACCGTCTATTTTACTATTTATCGTTTATCATGTTTTTTAAAAAAGTTGGAGAGGGGGAGAAGAAGCCATTTTTGAGAGTGTTTAACCAGAACATTTGAATTTCTTGATCTTTCTGAGACTCCTTCCTCAGGTTGGCCAACATCATGCATTTGTTTTTAGAATTTTATCACCACTTGTATTGACTATAATGAGGCCATAGTTGATATATTCTGACGCATGTGGAACTTTTTGACAGTTTTTATTTGATGTGGATTGGCCCAGGAAGGACAGAGATATTAGCTCAAACTGGAAGTCAGACTGTTGAAACTTACCATATTACCAATAAGGTTTTTCAGCTTTCCTCTTCAGCTTTTACGTACATAAAACTGCTCTGTGTCCTGGATCTTCCCGGGGGTCTCCTCCCAGTCGGACTTGCCTGAAAGACCTTTCTCTCGACGTCTAGAAGCAGCGACTCTACTCCGAGCTTCTCTTGTGTGACTGAGCTCCTCACCCTATCTCTAAGGGAGCAGCCACTCTGCAGAGGGAGCTCATTTCAATTATAAATAAATTCATAAATTTAATGGAATATTGGCTCTTTGGGAATATTGTGAAGTCACATCAACGCAACCTATTGTGTCTTTATAATAATATATTTGTACACTTTATCAATAAAGAATCAAAGACGTACTTCATTTTGATCCTTGTTTGTTCTTGTTTGCAGAAAGCACCACTGTCCCAGACACAGCCACCCCCACTACGCCCAAAGTGGAGCAGACCACTGCAGCCATGAGGCCAGGTATGTGACCCTTGAACAAACGCAACTTTATTTTAGTCCCGCAAAAAATGACAAAAATATCTCAGCATGGGTCAAAACGTCATGGATTGAGGAGAATATGGATCTAGATGTGAGTTGTGTGGCCTACAGTTAGAATGGGTTTTGGGCTCGAAATAGCTCCTCGCACTAACAACTAATGGACACGCTGCATACTCCTACAGCACCTTTTATTACACATAAAGAAGGAATCAATTAACATGATTAGTGTTAATAAAAAATAATGGGTGTCAAGTGTCAAATTAAAACTAGAAAACTGTCAAATAATCGTTAGGAGTTCTTGAGTACCTTCAATCAGATTTGATATACAGTCTTTCCCCATTTCAATTTTGTCTTCTACTATAAAAAAAAAAAAAAAAGTAGACCACATGTAATTTGGATAATTTACTTGAATGAATTGATTGTTATGAGGGTATGTGTTGGTTGGACTCATATTTGCTAAAAACCATGCACATGACATTTATGTTAATAATACATATTTCCAAAAATCCTCAACAATGACTCAAATAAATCTTATCAAATGGACATTAAATAACTGTTTTTATTAGTAAAGATTGTTCCATGCCGTAGTTTGGTCCCTCTGAGCTCCCATATAGGAACAGAACATTGGCCCGACATGTAGCGCAGATTTGCTTCTTGCTAATGTCTCAAGTCTCCACCAACTTGCTACAGTTAAATCCCAATTCCCTACGAATAAAAGTTTTTCTGCTGTATTTGATTTGGCTTTTTGTAAATAGTTCAGTACACGGAGTCTTTCCAAATCCACTTTCGGTTTGAAGTTCTTCCAGCCTCATAGTTTTGCGTCTCAAAAGCGTCGGTGGTCTTTTTACAAGTCTTTTGAAACGTGCCCATGGGTCCTGTCGCTCTCCGCGGACCGGCCCAGTCAAACGCCTGTGATTTTAGTTCAGCCAAGTCTCCAATTGGATTAGAATTCACTGGGCGTCGCGGTGCCACGTTTGGAAAGACTCCTTTTCTGCTTAAAGATGCTCCCGGGACGTTCAGGTCCTGCTAATTATTACAGTTTCAGGCAAAAAGTGATGCAACTATTAGGTTTACTGTTTAGAGCTGATACTTTGAAGGCATTTAAAAGATGGACTTTGATTGACAGCTTCCACAATACAAATCAATCAATCTTTATAGAGCCCTTTTCCTACACAGTATAACACATAGCGCTTCACAGTCCACACCACACAAAGCACACAAATCATCACATAAAACAAACACCAAAATCAACATTAAAAAACACAATTAAAATCACACATGTATTTAAAAGAATTAAAACATAAAAATCACACAAAGGAGTACACTAATAAATAACAACAATGCAAAAGAGTAAAGATAAAATTCTTCAGTTGTAGCACAGGCAAAAAAGAACTGTCTTTAACCTGTATTTGAACATTGCCAGAAGAGGAAGCCAGTCTCACATCCTCAGGAAGACTGTTCCAGATTTTAGCTTTATAAATCTGAAACGCTGCCTCCCCACGTTTAGTTCTGAGTCTGGGCACCAGCAGAAGGCCAGTCCCTGTGATCCTCAGAGTCCGGGCCTTGCTACAGCAAAAACTAAGCTTTGTATTGTATCTACTGGACTGATTTTGTGACTTGTTTATCTGTATAGACATTTCTGTAAATTTGCAAGAGACAGTTGACAAAGTTGACAAAAATCTGCAAAATAAAAGGTTGAAAATAAGCTTTGTGTATTGTTAAAGAACTTAAAAAAATAGCTAATAAAAAATATGGACTGCACTGGTCTGCTTTTGTGAATTGTTTTTGGGGGTTTTTTCAGTGTTTTTTCAACATTTTCCTTTTTTTTTTTAACGACTTGTTTCCACACACTTGTTGTCGGGCCCTGGATAAATTGAGTTTGAGACCCCTGCCCTGACCCCTCCCCTCTCTCCTCAGCGACCACTCCGTCTCTCTCGGCCGTGTGTGACTTTGAGTCCAGTTTGTGCGGCTGGTCTGCGGATCCTCAGTCTGGAGTGAGCTGGTCTCTGCACACGGCCTCCAGCGGGACCTCCACGGGACACGGCACCCACGGCACCCACGGGAGCCGGCTGGACCTCACCCAGGCCTCCGACAGTGAGTACCCTCTGCGTGTGTGGAAGCTGACGTTTGATTGGCTGGAGAAGCGCTGCTCTTTTAAAAAACGTCTTTGAAAAGTCTTAAAACTCACACGATTAAACCTTGAGCTGTTTCTGAAACTAGTCTCAGAAACAGAAAGGAAGGATGAGGACGGAGGTGTTTTTGTCAGATTCTGGGATAGATTAATATTTAGCACAACCACAGAGCAGCTTTCTCACACTCAAAAGTGAATCACGGTGGATCAGCCTGCAGCAGCCAATCAGCTCTCAGCTCAAAGAGGCATATTGTGACTCACATGACTCTTCCTCACGGTGCAATAGTTCAACCGTTTCTGTATTGCTGTAGTTTTGTCTGAATAATAGACTTTTTGAAGGGAAAAGCTGAACAAAAAATAGTTTGAATGCAGACGTACTGTCAAATGTTGAATGCTTCATTAGCATTTTTCAAAAAGTTAACATTCCTCCAGTGGATTTTTGCCTGATCCACTAGTTTTGGGCCATGAATCCTCTCCGCTCTGGTCTGGACCAGTGTAAAACCATGAACACTGTACTGCAGCAACATCTCAGGCAGAAAAAAGCAAGACAATTAACAATTCTAAAACAAAACAAAAAGCTACTTAGGACTTTCTGCTGTTTCCAGTCCTTTCAAAAGACATGCATTCCCCATTTTTAATAATACATTTGAAAGATATATAGTAGGATTTTCTACTTCCTGGTGGAGCATCATTCTGGTGCTCGTCAAAAGAGTTTTGTTCAAAAAGTGGGCGGTTCTTTCCTTAAATTTGGGGAAATCCTTCTATATACTGAACCTGCAAACAGATTCAGATTTTCACATGACATTCCTGATTTTTAACCATCATCTTGGTAATATGAACAAAAACAGCAATAGTTATCAATTTATGTCCTATGTTTCAATAATAAATGTATAGATTTTTCACTGCCTTCTTATCATCTCTTTTCTTTTTTTTTTTAACATTACTACATGTCTCTAACGGTGTGATTAGCATTAGCATCAGCAGTGATTAGCCGTCACTTGAACTGTCTTTCTCCGGTTTCACAAGGCCGCTGAAGTGTTGTGGAAGTGCGTAGTTAGTGCATTTTGAACTCATTAGGAGAAAAGAGGTAGTTTCCATCGCTGCCAGCGCTCTCCAGATGAGGCGGTAAAATGATGCAAAGATTTCAGACTGTTTTCCTGCGTTTGAGGGTGTCATTGGAGCGCCGCTTTGTTCTTTGTTTTCAGAAGAGGCTTTGACAATATGTGGATGTTAATGTGGACTGTTACACCATGGCTTTAAAATCGAATCCAACACGAGCAAAAGTTTCCATACCCCCGACGTTTTATGAAGAGTGATACATCTGTGTTTGTGTAATCTTTGACTTATTGCATTCGAGCTAGCGTCGCTCTCAAAATCCCCTCTGTCTGGCTGTTTGATTTTCTGATCTGTGTCTGTGAATCGACAACTTTCATCGCTGTTGTAATTGCCCCCTGTCCCATCTGTCCAAATGCATCGTTCTCAAACTCAATACGTTTTGACGAAATCATTAGACTATGGCCCTGTCCACACGAAGTCAAGCTCAGACCTAAACGCAAAAATACTTTATCAATCCAGTGTATCGTCCATACGAGGCCGGCGTTTTGGGGGGGTGTAAACGAACATTTTTGAAGGTAGGTCCCAGAGTGGAAAGATTTCAAAACTCCGTATATGCCGCTCCGTGGTTACTGCCTCTCCGCAATGTATCTGAGACGCTTGCGTCATCGCCCCGCCTCTTGTTAAAGCACGCATGCGCCGCACTCAGAAAATAATGACAACAACAATGTAGCTTGTTGGTTTTGTAATCCAGTGCGACCCGAAGCAACAGTTCAACCTCATCGTCCGTCCGTACTAATGTAGTACCAGCTCGCCCACTCGCCATGTTGTCTGTTTACAAAATTCTGCGCATGCCCAGTTCCCGTCACGGAAGTTTGGGCTTGATCCCGTCATTGCGTCACAGCGCCACCAACAGGTCTGGCATAGTTTCACAGCGTTTTCAGGCGTATTGACTACATTCATATGGACGCACACATTTACTGAGCTAACTCCGTGTTTACAGAAAACGTTTCTGAAATTATAAGCGTTTTGTCTTCGTGTGAATATAGCCTAAAACATCATTCAATTCAATTTGTTTTTGTTATGGTCCTAAATCACAACAGCAGTCATCTTAGGGAAGTTACAAAGTTATCGATTCGCACAAACAGATCAGAGAATCAAACAGGAAGTGCAATGATAACAAACACATCGGAGACACATAGGGGGTAAGTGGGAGTGGGTGTCTGCCTTCGTACAATAAATAGCTCTTCAATTAGTTCACGCCATGTTGGATTTCAGTTTCACTTTTATCAGAGACGGAGATGTTTAAAGCTGCAGTACCTAAATTTCACACCATAAAAACATAACAAAGTAATACAAACATTAAAAGTAATAAAATCCATGTAACTAGATTCTCGCTCTCAAAACAGCTAGCTTCTATTGCTGTAGTTTTCACATGCTAGTATTTTAGATCTGCCGTCTCAGACAGAAAAGTGTAAAAGAAAGGACCACCCTCACTCGGCCAATCAGCTCTCAGCCCAAAGAGTCAAATAGCGACTCATGGGGCTCTTTCTTACATTCTTACACCTATGCAAAAACATTTCTTAGAGAACGGCAGATCTGATTATACGGGATATTTGTGAATCAAACGTAATAGCTTTAACTGTATAGAACTTCACACATATCTCTTTCATTCACGCACACACACACAAACACACACACTCTCTTTTTCATTGGCTCACATTGACCTGGGGCAGTTTGATAAGTGCAATGATGGGTTTGACAGTAGTGCTGGCTTAGCTCTGCGGCTCCTCTAGAGGCAGGACACACACACACACACACACAGAGCTAGAGGTCTGCTTGATGACTCCTGGTGTGTGTGTGTGTGTGCATGTGTGTGTGTTTAGTTTTATGACCTTGACGTTCATAAGGTGATTCCCTGGAAATCCTCCAGGTCACGGCTCGCTGCTCTGTGAACGTAGCTTAGCTGAGAGAGGAGAAAGTGAGAGAGTCTTGTGAAATGATCAATCAGGATTTTTTGCCTAATTTACTTCGGCAATACAAGAAACTAAATTGTCAAGATATGTGTGCAGTTTGTCTCATCCATTTCAATGCCGTAACGCCCTTTCACAAAACGCTTGCAAACCATACGTGTGTGTGACTTGTGTGTCTATGAAGTTTTGTAGATAAATAGACAAAAAAAGAAGGGAAAATTAAAATATCAATAGTAATGGAACGTTTCTCATCAATGTAGTTTATTATTAAGATGGAAGAAATATAAGCGACGTGTTGATTACAGTGTTCTATATATGTACCAAATATACATTAATAAATAAGCTATGCTAAACTATAACAAATATTTATATTATGATATTATATTTTTTATTTCTTTCAATCAATGTTACATAAATCGGCACAAATCAATTCCTTTACATCCAATTTGCATTATTTCACGGAGTTGTCCTAGTTATGGCAGTGAGAATAGAAACCTGCCTGCATGGTGTGTATGTGTGTGTGTGTGTGTGTGTGCGTGGTGTGTGTGTTTGTGTGTGCGTGGTGTGTAATTGACTTATAGCAGCGTCCTGGTGTCTTCCGTCAGACGGGAACACGACATTAAGTCTTGTTCTACACAACATTAGCAGCGGCTCTGTCTCTGAGCTGTCTGCTGTATGCAAATCAGCACAGCCGCCCTGTCATGGTGAAAGAGAGAGATTTAGCCTTAAAAAGAGAAATCCAGGAGAGAAAAATCCAAATAAAGTCGTCTGATCCGTGATCGACTCAGACTGCACTGTGGCCGACTGTAAAATGTGTGGTTTGTAAGAAAAAAGTACATAACGTAAAAAAAATGTGTAAAGTTTGAATCCTGAAAGACAAGAAAAGGTGCATGCTCGACCCCTACCACTGTTTTTAGTGGTAGGGGAAACCGTAGCACCTGGAGGAAACTTACGCAGACACAGGGAGAACATGTTAGCTCAACACAGAAAGGTCTGGAGGTGGAATCGAACCCAGGACCTTCTTGCTTCGTACCAGTTCTTTGATATTGGTCAATCAGACTCTACACTGGAATAATGGATGTGAATGATTGAATGAAATCATTTGATCTAGATTCAAGTTCATTTTATTTCAAACGTTATGCAAAAAAAAAAAAAAAAACAATACTTAAAAACAAGAAACAAAATAAATAGGAATGAATTGAATATTTTAAGTGGAAGAATTTATATTTGCATGAAAGCTAGACTAACATAAGTCTCCTTTGCTTTTCCCATTTGCAAATCTAAAATTGCAATAGATTATAAACTGCGGAGGCATTTTATAACATGTCTTGTTGAAGGATTTAAAACAACTCACAGCAAAAAACAACAAAGCCTGAGTCAAAAAGCCAGATTCTCCCCATATACAGGTCAACTGTTAGTAAGTGATACATTTTTATCATTTTTTTAGTGATAATTTTAGCTGAAAATAGTCAGAATCAAACAAAAATATTGCCATGTGAGTAACAAGAAGTCACAAACTAGGAAATTGCTTTGGCTAATGCTAATGCTAATGCTGATGCTAATGACGCTAGATTAAGAACATATTTTGCTTGTCCCATTGGAAATTCTTTAATCCTAATAAAAACTAACTTTATTACAAGCCTTTACTAACTTGTATTTCATCAGGTTTTGTGATTTAGACACGGATTTTACTAACATATGAAATATACAATGTGAAATCTGATTTTTGTTGTTGTTATTTGTTCTCGTCTCGAAATAAAGTATTCATTCATCATTTTTCTTCAAAGTGAGACGCCGGAGTGCAAGGAGGGGCACTGTCAGCTTCCCAGTGTGCGTTGGTCTTAAACTACTACAATTAACTACTACTTTTTTACAAACAAACTGAAAGTCTGTAAAATCTGATCCAAGCACAAACAAAAATACCTTGCGCTTTCTTGTCCCTTTGCCTCCGAACCTGTTCTCCGTGTTTCCTCTCCCTCCCATTGAGACACACTAATTAATTCCTTTGTGCGTTCGCTAACATCAAACGAAGAGAGACGAGAAAACACGACAACTTTCTCTAAGTGTATTTAACGAGCCGAGCTAATTCAGGCGCCTGGTTTCTGCTGCCTCCGAGTTAGAAAACACAGCCTCCTCAACCCAAATCCATTATTCATGTGGAGAAATGTGTCGCAAATCTGAGCAGAGATCTCACACGCAGTCAATGCAGTCACTTAGACGGTATTTGCAACTGATACTTTGGTTTTCAGACCTACAGTAATCATTCATTTCAGTCATACTACTATTTCTTTGTAGCCTGGTCTTACCATACCATCGTACTCATTTAATTTTGTGCTTAGATCTGGATTTGCTCCATTGACTCCGTTAACAGGTGGGAGGGGTTAACTCTTTTGCAGATTGAAACGATTGGACCTGAGTTTAGCATTTAGCCTAGCGTTAGCATCAGTGGCCATCTTCTTTGCCACTAACGGAGCCCATGGGGAGTAGAAATGCTCCAACTTCAATTTCTTGATATTTGGAGCCGAACCAGAACAGATTACTTTACTCATGCATTCTCCGCCATTGCCAAACTACAACCAGCAAATTCGGAGCCAACTCTTGACGTCACCGACAACTCCCTACAACTCCCGCCTCCCCCGCTCGCTGATTGGTCGGAGGGGATTCAACCGAGGAAACTGTAGCCACTAGGATTAGTATATTGTTCCTGGTTTCATTTTGCATAACGTTTGAAATAAAATTCTTCCTACTTTTCCATGGACTCCTAGGAGACTATACAAAGCTTATAGATGGGCTTCAACATTGCAAAAAAAACATCATTTTAGGTTGAGTAGAGAGACATGAAATTGAACACATTAAGAAAACATAAAATAGATGTACAGTATGTATTTGTGTACATTCACACAGGCATACTATCGACATATCTTTATACACATACACATACATACAGTATTTACACCCATAGGCAGTCTTGCAGGCCCTAAATCTCTCTGACCCTATTCTGTCCTTTTTCTTTCATCCAATCACAGTCCGACACGTGTCACTATGACGCAAACCTGGGGAACTTGGGACCGTTGACCCAACTCTAGTTGAATTTCCGAACTCATTCCCATTCTTCCGAGTCGGTAGTCGGAACTTCCGAGTTTCCGAGATTGCATGAAAGCGGCATGCGGCATGAGACAGTAGTTTGTGCCAGATATTAGTGAGAGGGGTCTTTCCACAATTTCCGGTTTGTTTTTGTTAAGAGAGCAATGTTGTAATATGATTTTTATAAAAGCTCAAAACAGTTGATTTTGCATACTATCTCTCCTTTAATAAAACAAATGATTACTTCTGAGTCCAAAAGAGAAATGGGGAAATAGTTTTTTTCATCTTGTCCTAACCCAAGCCTCATTCTCTCTGCATGCAAAGCCACTGACCCTATAGCAGCTAGCACAATTGCCCTGTTTAGCGATAGCACGACGTCGATGTGTTACATTTTTCCCTTTAGCTTCCCCTCCGTCATTAGACGTACACAATGAAATAGTCACTCATTTGCGGCCACAAAATAATGGCCTCAATGAGCAACCGCCACCGCCAACACGACTGCTGCAGCTTCACTCCCATCACATCCGCTGCTGCTCGGGCAAATCGCATCAGTCATTAAAATGGAATCCAATGAATGAGTAAAATGCAAATAGCGTGGTGGAAATATATGAGCTGTCGTAGTTATGGGCTGTGTTCGGGAGATCTAAAGCCCAGTGTGTTGCTAAATGTTTGCCAAAGCTGGAGCGGCCGAAGTGACTGAGAGGGTATGAGCGCGATGAGGATTTTTGATCTTATGTGAAGGCTTGGTGCAGCTGTTTGAAAGTAAAAGTTTCAAAATAGTGCAGTAGAACACGTTTGTGGGTCTAGAGAGTCCCACGTCACAGAGGATGTAAAGGAATTAAACAGTAAATAACAATGAGTGATCAAAACTAAGATTTATGAATGGGCTCTGGGTGTGTTCACAGTAAAGTGTCCATTATAGTATCTGGACTTTAGAAGGTTATGACTCAAAAACTATGACAATTTCTAACACAGACATGTCAAAGAGATTTTAAACAACCAGATCTGCTTCTGATTGGATAATTCCACTGTGACTCAGTGACATAGAAAATAAAAGGTCCTCAGAGACAAAGATGAACTCCACAGATTAACATTAGATAGATAAATAGATAGATAGATTTTTGATCCCCATCGGAGAAATTCACGTGTCCAGTAGCAGCAAAAATAAAAAATGTATCATTCTAAAACGATAACAATAGTGATTATCAGCAATAGCCCTTCAGGTCACAGCAGAAGAGGTGGAGTAGCCTCTGGGTGGAGCAGGACGGGTCACAGCAGCAGCATTAACACAACATCAGGAAATCACTTTAAAAAGGAATCATAAAAAATGTTTTTTTTTAATCTATGCAAAAGTAACACTGAAAAATGTAAAATTTAAAAACAAAGAATTACCTTGAGAAAATAAAATAAAAACGGATGGTCTGTTATCATATTTATATGGTTTATCCTATTAAAGTAATAATTTAGCTTCAGCTTTGTGTAAAAAAAAAAAAATTATAATTAACTTCCGCAGCTCAAAGGATCAAGTCCAAGACACAGAGCCAGAGTTACTGTAGGAAACTTAACTAATGTATAAAACACTTCTCTTCTAGTACTACTAATGGACTGAAGAGGGATTTGGATCAATGAAAAACATAATACATTTTCTGTTTATTAACACTAGTCACACTTTTGTACCCTTTAGTGTGAGCAAGCCCATATTCCAAAATACACTGAACTGAAATGAATTGAATATCATCATTTATTGATCTGTCCATTTCCCCACCTCTCCTTGCGTTCGCAGACCTGTCGGGGAACTACTTACACGTGGACGCGGGGCCCCACACGCAGAGGAAGAGGGCCCGTCTGCTGAGCCCCGAGTTGGAGCCGGAGCAGGGGCCTCTGTGCCTGCTCTTCCACTACCAGCTGCAGGGGGAGGCCCAGGGCAGCCTCCGTGTGCTGCTGCGCGACACCGACCACGACGAGACCCTGCTCTGGTCCCTGCGCGGAGACCATGGGGCGCTGTGGAGGGAGGGCCGCACCGTGCTGCCCCAAAGCCCCAAGGAATACCAGGTAAATGCAAGCCCCCGATGATCCAAAATGGCGGCGTATTCAAATCAGTGGCTTGTGCCTGTAACGCGACATGTTCCTTACGTTGTGGACTTTGTGTTGCTGTTTTCAGGTTGTGTTTGAAGGTTTCTTTGAACATTCGACCAGAGGACACATCCGCATCGACAACATCCACATGAGCAGCAGTGTGGAGCTGGAGGAATGCACACGTGAGTTCAACCCACGGCCCTAAACGCTGCAGTTACAAAAGAAAAGCCTGCGATTTTCTGCTGATTTTGCATGTTCTCCTCGTGTCCCAGCTCCGGCCCCGACCAAGTACAGCCTCAACAATAAAGTACCCTCTCTATAATGTATAAAATCTATACATGTCTCTCACTGGTCTTGCTCTGGTCTTTCTCTGATCTCTCTCTGTCTGGTTTCTCTCTTGTCTCTCTCTGGTCTCTTTCTGATCTCTCTTTGGTCTCTCTCTGGTCTCCCTCTGGTCTCTCTCTCTGGTCTCTCTCTCTGGTCTCTCTCTCTGGTCTCTCTCTCTGGTCTCTTTCTGATCTCTCTTTGGTCTCTCTCTCTGGTCTCTTTCTGGTCTCTCCACATTGAGAGGAGCCAGTTGAGGGATTCTATATCTCTCTACCTGGGAACTGGCCTGGGAACGCCCCAGGATTCCCCCAGATGAGCTAGTGTCAATGTATTTATTTATTATTCATCTTTATTTCAGACTCCATACAAAAAAATAAAATAAAAGGGAATATAAAAAAGGACAATGCTTTCAAATGTATAGTCAGTCCAAGCAGGTCTATAGATACTAGAGTGTATCTGTCCAGTGCTTTCTGCTCTGAGAAAGCACTGGACAGATACACTCCACCATATTTACCCAGACCACTTATTAAATAGAAACCTAATCATCACCAAAAAAACCCTAAAGAAACTTCAGGGTGACAAGCGGTGACCTCCACATGAATGCAACACATAACAAAGTCTGGGGGTCTCTGCTCATACTGACTCATCCACAACCTGGCAACAGATAAAGCAAAAGAAAATAGATGCATGGATCATTTTACATAATTAATAGAAAAGGCAGGAAATTGTACAATCAATCCAACAAAAAAATACATCAGGACAAGGGTAGAGCCATCCAGCAGCCTGTCAAGCTAACATAAGCAAGGCTAACAGTTCCCATGTTGTTTAAGAAGCAATCCAGCTGCTGTATATGTAATGTCGTGTTTTAACCCGTCACACTCTGGATTTACCGTTTGTTTTACTGTACGAGTGTGGGAGACATGAGGGAATTCTTCGCTCCTCCTCTTTCCCACAGACGCGGAAAGACGAAATAAATAAAAAAGAAAGTAGGCCACACACAACCGGCAGGCACGGATCCTCATCTATCTTTTATTATAAGTATTTTTGCACACTTTCTGAGCAGGAGGCTTTTGACACTCTCTGTGGTCTGCCGTCTGCCGCACCAAGCTCACATCTGAAAACATTTGTTAATAGGGGTTTTATTGTGGTTATTCAAATGATTTTCCCGTGGGTGGAATATGGGAAATTATGAATGCTACACTTAGTACAAATTGCGGCAATCGTCAATCAACAAGCAATTTTTTTTATCCGCTTTATCTGTTGCCGGGTCGCGGGGGCTAAGCAGAGACACAGACTTCCCCCTCACACACTTCACACACACTTCCTCCAGCTCATCCGGGGGAAAGTCGAGGCGTTCCCAGGCCAGCTGAGAGACATAGTCCGTCCAACGTGTCCTGGCTCTTTCTCTGGGATAACGGTTGCCCAAGCCACCTCAACTGGCTCCTCTCAACACGGAGAAGCAGCAGCTCTACTTCGAGCTCTTTTCACACTTTCGTTCATAAGAAAGAGTAGCTAACACTTCCTGGTTTTCGTACTCTCTCATTGGTGCATCAAATTATTTCCTTGGCTTCCTTGTTTAAATGGATGTGTTTTTATGTGTAGAGGTTTTCATGGCACTTCCTCAGCTCCGATTCGAAAATTTGAATATCGCTCATTTAATTCTGGTATTCCACTTTACATGTTGATAATTATGGCTCACAGCTGTAAAAATTTCCAATAAAACTAGACTTTGTCCATACCCCTAAGTGACAGTGAACATGATATTTAGTCGTTTAAGATTCACATCCACAAAACAATATTTAACCCAGTTTGTTTGGCGCTACTCAGCCGCAAAAATAGATCAAATCCATAATCACAATTTTAAAAAAAAGTCAATAAATAGGTCCATCAGGGAGACAGGCATAAGAGTGGACTACTGTAAGCTTATGAATGAAAGAGGCACGTCTTTTAACTTTTTGTCTTCACAGAATAGTGTCAATAGTATCAGTATTTTTTGCATGAAAGAAATATTCTCAGTGTGTTGTGGATTGAATGATGTCACGTCTCCTCATTGGACAACAGTGAACAATGCCTCTTCATCACACTGATTCTAATCCTGTCTGACTCTTCCACCTCTGACTCTATAATCTCGCATGAACTTTTTAATTTGTACAAACGAGCTGTTCGTAGAAATCACAACAGTTTCAAAATCCTTTGTGTTTGAAGAGGAAGCTTGACAAAAGGATAGACTGAAAGATCATTGATTCATTTCACATTAAAAGACAAATTATTATTTTTGCAGGGTTTGGATGTTCTCTTCTGATTAGTTTGTGTGGTTCATTTAATTCAAGTTCGGTCTGAAAAATTTGATCTGAAGTTGTGACTGATGAACAAAAAAAATCACAAAAACAAAAGACCCTAAATTACAAGTGCAGGCGTCTGGGAGGACTTTACAAAGCTGTCAATTTGCCAACAACAGATCAGAGAATCAAACAGTGCAATCATAAAAAACACATGTCCATAAATGTCCTGGATCATCGCTGTCTTTAGACCCTCGTGCATCAGCAAGAAAGGACTCAAAAATCTGTGCGAAAAAGTGAACAACCTCAGGGAGTCCCACGAACAGACAGGCTGTAGAACCAGGACTGAGGCTGTAGATCCAGGACTGAGGCTGTAGATCCAGGACTGAGACTGTAGATCCAGGACTGAGGCTGTAGATCCAGGACTGAGGCTGTAGATCCAGGACTGAGGCTGTAGATCCAGGACTGAGGCTGTAGATCCAGGACTGAGGCTGTAGATCCAGGACTGAGGCTGTAGATCCAGGACTGAGACTGTAGATCCAGGACTGAGGCTGTAGATCCAGGACTGAGGCTGTAGATCCAGGACTGAGACTGTAGATCCAGGACTGAGGCTGTAGATCCAGGACTGAGGCTGTAGATCCAGGACTGAGGCTGTAGATCCAGGACTGAGGCTGTAGACCCAGGACTGATGCTGTAGATCCAGGACTGACGCTGTAGACCCAGGACTGAGGCTGTAGATCCAGGACTGAGGCTGTAGATCCAGGACTGAGGCTGTAGATCCAAGACTGAGGCTGTAGATCCAGGACTGAGACTGTAGATCCAGGACTGAGGCTGTAGATCCAGGACTGAGGCTGTAGATCCAGGACTGAGGCTGTAGATCCAGGACTGAGGCTGTAGACCCAGGACTGATGCTGTAGATCCGGGACTTAGTCTGTAGATCCAGGACTGAGACTGTAGATCCAGGACTGAGGCTGTAGGTCCAGGACTGAGGCTGCAGATCCAGGACTGAGACTGTAGATCCGGGACTGAGACTGTAGATCCGGGACTGAGGCTGTAGATCCAGGACTGAGGCTGTAGACCCAGGACTGAGGTGCAACCCAGCTTTTCGAAAGCTCGTTCCAAACCTGTGCAGTTTCAACGTTAGGTGCTCCAGCTTTAAGAGACTCAATCTAATATTAAACGTAGAGCTATCATTTCAATCTTGCTACAGAAATAAAAAGAACATTGTTGTTGAAATCGTGTGTGCTCTGATTTGAATCGCGCACAGAAATCCCGTTTTAATTGATTTCAAATTCAAATCAAATCCATGCTCCTCAACACCACCTCCTTCAGATACTTTGAAGTCGTGTGTATATTTGTCTTACTCAAAACTAGTCACCCTCTGAAGCTGCGAGAAAAGCTTAAATATCGCCTCCGACAAGTTTTGTACACGGTCTACACAAAATGACACGTGCACTTCCCGTGAACCACACACTCCACGTCCTCTGTCAGATCCCGAGCAGCGGTGAAATTTCCGTGTTCCCATGACCCTCAAACGCACCCTCTTCCTCCTCGCTCCTCTTTTCATCTTCAGGCACCTTTCTCTCGTCTTCCCTCTCTCTCTCTCTCTCTCGCTCTCTTTCTCTCTACGTCTGCCTCCATTTACACCTCGCGTTCAAACAGCTCACGACAGACTGACAAACCAGAGAAGACCAAAGACGGGAGGGGAGAAAAAAAAAGAACGTAGACATCACACAGCGTGGACACGTTCCCTGTCACGGAAAACGCTTTTATTGCTCCCGTCTTTTCTTTCACTCAATTTAGTAAATAACTGCCGCTCACAGTGATTTATGGGCCGCTACTTCAATGGTGTCCTCAGTCTCCACAAATCTCTATTGATTCTGAAAGGCTTTAGAGTCAGCTCTCTTCAAATGCACCTGGTTTGGTGGAAGCATGCATGTATTTGTGTAAGTGTGTATATGTAATTGTTAGAAAAGGTATTGTGTGTCCTGTTTGATTAGTGAGACCTGAAGTCAATTTTTCCAATCGGTAATGGAGCTATGTTGTCCATGTATTGCGTACGTGAGGGTGTTATGTGCAGACAGAATTAAAGGATTTTCATTGTGAGCTAATGCTATATGGGCATTTAACCTCTAAATGATTGTATTTCATTTTCCAGTGAGCCTGAGTACACACCAGTGTCTTTGGGCAGCCGAGAGAAAGACAGACAGACCCACACACAGACAGAAAGTCAGACACACAGACAAACACACAGGCAGACAAACAGACGGACACACAGACAAACACATACACAGACAGACGGACATACATACGTACAGACAGACAGACACACACACAGACACAAAGACAGACAGACACATACACAGAAAGTCAGACACACAGACAAACACACAGGCAGACAAACAGACAGACAGACGGACACACAGACAGACAGACAGACACACAAACACATACACAGACAGACGGGCATACATATGTACAGACAGACAGACAGACACACACACAGACACAAAGACAGACAGACACACAAACTGTCCATAAGGAGCGCGGAAGTAATTGTACGCTGCGTGGCTTGATGTGTTTATGTGTCTCAATCTAACTGAAATTTCCCCACAGTTGGACAAATAAAGGATTATTTAAAAAAAAAAAAATGAAAAATGGATAGACAGATAGACCTTGACAGACCAAACTTTATATATCTTACAATGTGATATTCAAGTGCCCATCAGTAGCTGATACAGACAACACAGACAATAGACTGACACAATCTGAAATAGTATCATTTAATCTGTTGAGTAACCTTTCAATGTGTTTATTGTAGAAGCTGACAGAAGTTTGCTCTATAAATCTATAAACATTTCATGACTTTTGTGTAGTATTTACACCGTGCGGATAGTTCGTCCTCAGACCTCTGTGATCACGCAGCCGTAACTCACCGCTTGTGGCCTGTTGAGTAAATATTGACTTAAATCCGGTCCTGTCCCATCGAGCTCCTTGTTTGGACATTGACCAGAAAGTGCAGTTCCACTCGACTCATGTGACTGGAACGAGCCTAGTGGCTGTGTGACGAAGGTCTATTGCTAATATGACATAATGCTCATTGGTGTTTGGAGGTTTCACTCACCAGACTCATACTGTTAAACCAGGGATATGGGGAGAACATGCAAACTCCACACAGAAAGACCTACGAAGCCACCGTGCCAAACTGTGGGGTGATAAAAATCCATGTAGCTAGTTCCTCGCTTTGATAATCATTTTGCCTTGATTAGGAGATATGGTTTTTGTATTTGATTTAGCATGTATTTTATTCTATTTTTATGGGGAAAGTCATTTAAATCACTTTCTTTTGTCGTTTACAAAGAATCCTTGTCCGTTTGAACCAAAATGATCCCACCAGTGTACTGCATCTACTTCCACTTTCACTAAAACCCACTTTCTGTTGTCGTTCCCAGAGCCCCTCCCAGCGCTGACGCCGGGAATCACCAGTAAGTCCCACTTCCTGTTTCTCTCTTCTTCTTCTTCCTGTCCCGAGTGTCTGTGCTTCCTGCTTGTGGCTCAGCTTTCAGCGTCTGTCAGTCTGTCCACCACCTCCCGAAAACAAACTCGTTCCACTCACTCAGCGTTTATGACACAGGATATGATTTTATTACAGAAAAATAGTATGTGGAGGTTTTAGCATTTTGGATTCGTGACCTGTGCATTCTGTAGCATGACTACTGCTGCATGCTGAGGCTGAGGCACCTGGATCTGCTTATTGGATTTAACATGTTACAACATTTGCGCTTATGATTTTGTATATTTCATGGGTTTTAGTTCTATTTTATGAGAAGCAATTTCCCTGAATACTGTACATGTGCCCTGGAGATATCTGACAGAAAGGTGGCTGCCGATATGTGTATGCGGTCTCGCTGACACCCAAAATGACACAAAAAGACAGATATTTTTGCTTTTAGGAGGAGATTTTTATTTTAATTATTTTTTTTTTTTTTACCACAGAACTAAAACATACCTAACCTGGTCTTTAGCCGTCGGTAACCTCTGGTCCTATCATTTCCTACATGTACGTCTGGGTCTGATCTTAGTGGCTGCAGCTTCCTCGGTTGAATCCCCTCCGACCAATCAGCAAGCGGGGGAGGCGGGTGTTGTAGGGAGGTGACAAGAGTTAGCGCCAAATTTGCTGGTTGTAGTTTGTCATTTGCAGCTAATGCACTAGTAAAGTAATCTGTTCTGGTTCAACTCCAAATATGAAGAAATTGAAGCCGGAGCAAGAGGGATTTTTAGCAAATGTCATTGCTGCAAAGATGTTGTGGCTCTACTCCCCAACGGGCTCCGTTAGTGGCAAAGGAGATGGCTAAAGCTAGGCTAAATGCTAAATGCCTCACTCACTCGGGCGCGTTGCATATATCAAGGTAAACTCTAATCCAATCGTTTCCATCTGCAAAAGGAGTTAACCCCTCCCACCTGTTAACAGATCTCATTGCAGCAAATTCAGACCTTAGTACGAAATGAAATGAGTACGATGGTATGGAAAGACCAGGGTAGCTTATGTTCAAATCAGCCTCCTCTGCACTACGGTTTACACTATGCTAATATATAATTTATGGTCTAGCTGAACAGTTTTTAAGACCATTACTGCTGTCAATTCGACACGATGCCTGTTGTTTGGCGCCTGTCTGCCACCAGCCCTCGCCGTCTCCTCGCTGATGTTTTCCTCGACTGTAAGAATAGCACAAAGTTCAAATCAAACTCGCTTCCAGTTTAGATCACACACATTCCTCGAACAGTGTCAGAAACATGAGAGCGCCTTCACCGCCACTTAAAACAAAGACATTTCTTAAAATAGCCCCAACCTGGCGGCACGTTGTTTGACCTGGCTCTGTGAAGTACGGCTTTGAAACGGCGGCGTTTTTTTCCGACTGAGTCAAAGTATGTGAAAGATGTAATTAGGAATGTAAACGTCTTCATAAGAATCATTCCAATCCATTTGGTTTTAAAAGTTCAAGAGAGGCGAGTGCTGCAGTGGGTCTCACCATGGTCACTATGGAAACTTAAAAGAAATGAGGAAAAATACAATGCTCTCATGACATTTAAATAAAAATCCTATAATAAACTGGAATATGCTACAGGTTTGGGCCACGAAGAGCCTTCAGCCAATCAGCTCCCAGCCCAAAGTGTCAAATATTAACTCACACGGCAAGTATGCAGTAGATGATATGTTTTTTTAGAGATAGACCGTATGTAGTGGTCTGAATTGTCCACAGAATGTTAGTTTTCCAAGACTCTTTCTGTTGGGGCAAACAAAATGTAGCTAGTTATTTACAAAAAAGTGTAGTACGCCACCTTTAAATAGACATTGCTACCTTTGTAGTAACTTTTATTATTCTGTGTTAAAACTAATGTTATTGATGAAATATTGACATGGTAACGACTTTCTGGACTTCTCTTGTTGTTACATTAATAGGAACAAATCTTACGTTGAAATTAGCGCCGTCGTCAGAGATTTTAGAGCTCTATAACTACATTTTGATTGGTGGAAAGGACTCGAAATAGCAGCAATATGTATACAGACTTGTTATTTGATATTTCAGGTTAATTATAATTGTATTATTTCGCTTTTTCTTTTCATTTTGTATTTATTGAGACGTCAAATCGTGTGCTGACCTCTTTAGTTTGAGGATTCAATCTGAATTTTTATTGGCTGACAGCGCGATCTCTCTTTAGATTCCCCTTGTTTTGTTGAGTACTCTACTTTATTTTATTTACATAAAGTAGAAATGAAACAGCCGTCTCTTGGAGGAATCATTATACGAAGTTTGGTTGAAGTCTCAGGTCTCTGTGGTCATCATCATTATGAAAGATATTTACTTTTCAAGTTGTGATTTGTTTTGGGACGCTTGGAAGAACGGGCGATTTGGACTTTGATGGATAAAAGTTTTTGGGGTTTGTCTAAGGAGTTTGTTTACAGTTAAAATTACAGGTGTACGGGCTTTGGGTGACCGTTACGCTATATAAATAAAAATTACTTACGATTTGTTGGATTTGTTGAAAGATTTGTAAATTATCGTTCAGTGTGACTATACTTTTCCTCTGAAGGTGAAGGATTATTGCTAATTCTATCGCTAATTCTTTTCTAGCATTTTTGTGATCGTAAAATATGTCCTCAAAATTCAAACTTTCCTCGTCATAATAAACAACATTCAGATTCATCATAATATCCATTTGGATCATGTCCGCTGACTCCTCCCTCTTCCTGTGGGATTATAATTTGATGTGTGCTTCGAACTCAGTGGTATTCGTAGAAAAAAGAAAAAAAACAGGAAAAGCAAGACAAGTTTATTAGTATAGCACAGTTCATGCACAAGACAACTCAAAATCCCGAACAAAACATGAAAAAAACCATCCCAGAAGACGGTAAAATCATAAATAATCACAAGGCATTAAAAATAGTGAATTTGTCAGAGGGGAATCCTGTCTCACGGTTTCAGAAAGACTGTAAAAATGTTAGCTAACCATTCATTGCTGCTGTCTTTTCGCTAACTCAACACAGTCCAACCTCACACACGTCTTGATCTAAATATTCTACAGTCTTTCCAATAAAAATGCTTGTTCACTGTATAAAAGCAGAGTGTTGACCAGTGCTTTTCCTGGTTTCAAACTCACAGAGAGGCAATCCACTCCGGGGAGACTATCAAAAACTATTTTAAAACCCTAAAGACTGAATCTAGAGTTAAAATTAAGCTACCCCAGGTTCCCTTTCCCTCACCACATCTCTCATTCGTTCTATACTCCAGGGTTTAAGCTTCTTTCTAGCCTTATTTTTTCCCTGCTCCCTCCATCCATCTCTCTCTCTCTCTCTCTCTCCTTCTGCTACTCTCTGGGTTTCTTTCACAGCCAACTGACAGACTATTGAAGTTTTAGACAAGCCCTTTAATGCGGGATTAAAGATATCATTCCCGGATTAGCGTTCTCTCTCTCTCTCTCTCTCTCAATACTTTGCCTTTGCACCAAGAGCCCTTCCGCATTCACTCGTCTAATAGCGTTCCAGACTTATACATGGAGTTTTCTCTTTCCCTTCAAAGTGGCTGCACAATAGAGGTGGAAATCTACACAAAATGCTCCACTTTTGGTCGTGGCAAAGCTTTGTCTGTCTCTGAGGATCGGCATGGCATGGGCCTTTTGGCTGTCGATGTGCCTCTGCTTACACTGTCATTGTTTGAACATAGACTGTATACACACACATGTACAAATACAGCTTTTTTGATACATGACATGGGAATAGTTCAAATACAGTCTAGTGGTTTGTAGAAGTGGTTTAGATTAGAACTATGGTAGGGATTTGTATGAGATAATGATGAAAGACATAGAATAATGTAGATAATGCATAGAGATTTATATAGAGAGATTATTCTTTTTTTATATAGTTAATTTAAATAAATAAAAAAGTTTCCAAAGTACTGCACAGAGACAAAAATAACACATTTAGATCTACAATTCTGCTAGCTTCTATGTATAAAAATATAGAGGCAAAATGAAAAAAAAAAACCATTAATAAACCGTTAATAAAAGTGATATTAAATTAGAAAATATGAAATAAATACTATAGAGGACCACGCAACTCATGCTGTGTTAAAATCCAGAGAGTAAAAGAGGGTCTTAAGACAAGATTTAAAACAGTCCAGTCTAATATACTGATTCATCACTCTTAACTAGTTTAGTTTTGCCTTAGCTCCAGTTTAGTTTTTAGTTCCATTGTGGTATATCTGTGTCAATGCAGCCATAATAAAGAACTAAACCTGTAGCATTTGACTTTGCTTTCACCTCATTGAGAAATATCAAAAAGCTTGAAGTTTATTGTATTATATTAGCCGTACAAATCCTTCCTATAAGTCAACTTTCTTGCCAGTTCAAAAGCAATTAGCATCCAGAAAAATGTTTTATAGATTTTTTTAAACTAGCGATAGGGTTTGGGTTAGGGTTATTCATATTAATTAAAATTCAAAAAACAAATACAAAAAAACTAAAATATAAATACTACAAAGGAAATGCTAAATAAATTACATAATTCCACACAGTCTATGTTCAAACCAATCAAATATTTGAACTGCAAAAACTTGGAACTTGGGAATGGCAGTGGGCTGACTTGACTTGGCTTTGTCCCAATACCAAGACCGACATCTGGAAGACCCATCCTTGTTCCAATGCGCAAATATTTGAACTCTTGCCGCTTGTCGCCCGCGCTTCTCTTCGTGGCCTGCATGCCTGCACCTCTTTGGCGTTTCAACCACTGACAATAAACATATCCTCCTGCCCTTTAGGGGGTGCCATGTCTGGATTGGAGCCCACGGTAGCCTCAGTGGTCGCGGAGCCTCTTCCTGTTTTCTGGTACTACGTCTTGGCCGGAGTTGGCGCCCTTTTGCTGCTTATTGTCGTGACGGTGACTGTGGTTTTGTGCTGCCATCGCTACCACTGGTCCCCGAAGAAAAGC